GAATAATTTTTTAAGTAAGTGCTGTTTAATTATTGAATTAATATCTACGTTTAGGGAACATACAGTGGAATGCCTCAGAATCCTATAATGTTCATTATTTTTATTGATGACTTAGATGAAGAGGTCATGCTTATCATATTCAGGGATGGCAGGAAGCTGGCTGAAAGGGACAGTAAATACACTGGATGATAGAATCACAGACATATCTGGGCAAGTTGGCAAGATAGACAGAACTGAACAAGATAAAATGAGAAACAAGGCACAGTCTCTGTCTAGAGCGGCTGTGGGGGGTGTGCACTGTCTGGGGTGAAGGCAAGCAGATGCAGGTGAGCAGTGCGGTTCAAGAGCAAGTTTAAAAGAGAATTGGGTTACTTCAGTTGATATTAAGCTCAACAGGTGTCGATGGTATAGATTCTTAATTAGACCTTAACGAGTTTTAACAGAAATAGGAAATAGAATGAGGAGGTGGTAATTTCAGTCTTCTCGATGCTGATTAGGACTCCCTTGAAATTTTGCACTTTATTCTTTAAGAATAAAGAAATTAGAGAAAACTGGGACAAGAGTGATGATAATAACAGTGAGGCCACTGGAGCAAAAGGCCTGTGAGGTAGGGAGGAACCATGGAAAGGGCACAGGGCAGGGAGTTGAGAGCCAAGTTGCTCCATGAAGGGGCTGCGAGATCTTGAGAGCTGGTTCAGGACTCCCTGAGGGGAGGCACGGACTATGGTGGTTGACTGGTCTGCTCTCATAGGTTTTGGTCCTCCGGTCCGGCCACACTGTGGGTAGGTTCCTTTCTCCCTCCCTCACCCCTCCAGGGACAGGTTCTCTTGAGGCCATGAGCAAAATTTCCCACTCTTGATATGTCATTCAGAGTCACAAATGATACCCATCATTTCTCTTGGAAAGCTTTCAAAAGTGCCCTTTCCATGATTTCCCAAGAAGCCAAGATCATGGCAATCCTAATCGACATCACCACACACAGTAGTTATCAGTTATTCAGGCAGTAAAGCAAAAGGCCCAAGAGAAAAAGGGAAGACAAATAAATCACATGGACCTGAGTTTAAATCTCAGACTCTCCTAACAGCTTTGTGACCACAGTCAAATTGCTTAAACTTTCTGAGACTCCGATTCCTTATCGTGAGGTAGGATTAATACCAGGCATGTCGTGATGTGAATATGAGGTGAAGTCATGCATGTACAAAACATAGCACAATATGGGACACACAGTCAGTGCCCAGAAGGGCTATTGCCATTATCACCATAACACTGACTACCACCCTCCCTCCTTTGTCTTCTCCCTCATCTCTTCTGTGCTAGTGCAGAGGATACAGTGCAAAAGAAGACAGACACAGACACACACGTTGCTTGCACCAAGCTCACACTCTAGCAAAGTCCAGTTAAACTTTTTACAATGATGGAAATCTTCTATATGTGCATTCTCCAATATGGTAGCCAGAAGTCACATGCTGCATTTAAGCACTAGCAATGTGACTTGTGTGACTGAGGAACTGAATTTTAAATTTAATTTGTTATTTTATTTTATTTTTTGAGATGGAGGCTTGTTCTTTCCCCCAGCCTGGAGTGCAGTGGTGCCATCTTGGCTCACTGCAACCTTCTGCCTCCCAGGTTCAAGCTATTCTCCTGCCTCAGCCTCCTGAGTAGCTGGAATTAAAGGTGCGCACCACCAAGCCTGGCTAATTTTTGTGTTTTCAGTAGAGATGGGGTTTCACCATGTTGGTCAGGCTGGTCTCGAACTCTTGACATGATCTGCCTGCCTCGGCCTCCCAAAGTGCTAGGATTACAGGTGTGAGCCACCATGTCAGCCCATTTAATTTTAATGAACTAAAATTAAACATGGAAATAGTCACGTGTGGAAACAGAGCGCACAGCTCTAGACACCTTTCAGGTGCATTTCCGGGACTGACTAGCCTGAGCAGAATAAAGGTGCACTGAAAGAGAAAGGCACATAAAGCATCCAGTACAGGACCTAGAAAATTCTCTTATTTATTCATCCATCGCATTTAATTATTGATTATGGATTGGTACTATCTCAGGTGCTGGAGATACAGAAAAGAATTAGGCATGGTCTCTGCCTTCAGGGGGCTCACAGTTCGGCAGGAGAAATGCAAATAAGTGATTTCACCATAGCGAGGTAAGCTTATGCACAGGGTAGGGCTTCCCTGAAGGATGTTTCAGGACCTAAGCTGAATCTTGCATAAACTGATCTCAGAGCGGGAGCAACAACAGATTATATCCCAGGGCTACTAAACACACTGCTGAGGGCAGAGGTGGCTTGGAGATCAGCAAGGCTCTAGGAACAACTCGTAGCTAGGGCCAACTTGTTTTCTTCTAATCTGTGTGTGTGTGTGTGTGTGTGTGTGTGTGTGTGTGTGTGGTTTTGTATTGCCTGATTCAATCTCTCTTCTGCCAGCCACATTTTTTTTCCACCTGAGGACATTTTTTTAAAAAATGATGGGTATAACCTTATTTTTTATTTTTATTTTTTATTTTTGAGCTGGAGCCTCACTCTGTCACCTAGGCTGGAGTGCAGTCGTGTGATCTTAGCTCACTGCAACCTCCGCCTCCTGGGTTCAAGCAATTCTCCTGCCTGTCCTGAGTAGCTGGGATTACAGGCACCTGCCACCTATCTGGCTTTCTTTTTTATCTTTTTTTTTTTTTTGTATTTTTAGTAGATACAGGGTTTCACCATGTTAGCCAGGATGGTCTCGATCTCCTGACCTCGTGATCTGCTCACCTTGGCCTCCCAAAGTGCTGAATTGTAGGCATGAGCCACTGTACCCAGCTGGGCATAACCTTATTTTTAAATTGTTTTATTACTATTAATAGTTACTAGCCTTGATTTTTTTTTTTTTTTTTTTTTTTTGCCAGAGAAATGCTGTTATTTATAAAGTGAAATCAGCTCTCACTATGGTTTGGTTGTGGAATTCTGATACTTGTTACAAACAATTCTGTGACTGTGGCCAGTATGTGAAGAAGCTGTTGCTGATGAGTTAAGCTTGCTGAATCTGGCTGTGATCATGACGCACGTTCATAGGAGTGAGTGCTGTTATAATGACTTTATGGAGAAGTGGGATATTATACACATTTACATATCTTATATGATGGTTTCCTTTGTTCAAAGTTAGTATGTGACATTGGCTAGAGAATTCTACAGCTGATACTTTCTCACATAAAAATAGGTATAGCTTTATGTTGTATGGTTTCCATAATCACTCCTGAGTGTATAAAGCAGGGTGATATGTGTGATCCCTTCTTCTGTGAGACTGGAGAATGCTCATGTGATGTGGCTTGGTCGTGCACGGCCTTGGCCTATTTGAATTCCTAAAGGTCATCTGCTTTAGTTATGGCCGAGTTGCTTCTGGTTAATGGAATCATAAACTGGTGAACCCTTTTTGAAAAATGGCTTCTCATGTATATTGTGAGCCTGAAAACATTAATGTCCTTTGACCTAGTGATCTATTTCTAGGAATCTCTCCAAAGGAAGTAATGGGAAATGTGTGCAGTAAAGACTTTGCCAGAGTTATTTGTAGTTGCTGAAGACAGGAAGCAACTTAAATAACTGACAGTGTAATAACATACAGCCAGGAAACCAGTGTTCATGAAGGTCTTTTGCTACAACGCTAATTAAGAAAAAAAGCAGAGAAGCAATAGCTGCATGTTTGAGTCAGACAGCTTGGGTTTGAAGCCTGATTCTGCCACGTACTAGCTATGTAACTTGGGCAAATCACCTGCACTCTTAGAACCCTAGAAAAATGGGATTGATAATAATAATACTCACCTCAGATGGACTCCTGAGGATTAAAGGACATAATGAATATAAAATTTAACACCATGCAAAGTATACTTATTAGGCACCTAATAAATGCAGGCTCTCTGTGGATTGTGTGATTTCAAGGCATAAAAATAGATGGAAGGGAAATATGCCAGTATATTAACGTGTGGGATCAAGTGGTAGGATCTTGGGTGATTTATTTGATATTTGCATACTTTTCAACTTTCCAATTTTTTGGCAATGAACATGAATTACTTTTATACTCAAAGAGTACATCAGAATGATGTAATGCAATAAGATATATTTTAAAATCTTTAAAGTTTTACCACAAAGAAAGGGTACTTCCCTACCCTTTTCCCCCTTCTTTTTCAGGGGAGGAGGTGGGGCCAGCATCCACCAACTCCCATCAGTAGGAGAGGGGAGAGTTTCTGCCTTCTGGATTCTTTCCTCTCAGAGGCTCACACATGCACAGCCTGAGCCTCTGGGAGTGCCTGGGTTGGAGGGATCCTTGCCATCTGTTGATGGTGTTGCGTGGGGAGTTGGAGCGGTTGGGGGAGCTGGAACAGATGATCTTCGTAGTTACTCCCGTCTCTGAGAGTCTAGATTTCAAGACGCGCTGATGTTTACCATTTTCTCCCCATGTCTTGGTTGATCTGAACCAACCACTACATAAAACTCTAAGGTTTTATGTAGAAAAAAGACTCATCTGCTAGCTTCCCACCCCAAAACCCCTCCCAGAAAAATACCTGTAGTAATGCCTATAGTGCTGGAGGAAGATGTTAATGGTGATTGTCAAAAATGTCATAGATCAGGAGTACAGGGAAGTTAGCTTAGCTGCAGCCGCTTTATTTAAGGAGTAGAATTTATACTCGGACTGGAATCTCCAACAAATGTAGCCTTTTAACATGACAAACAGTTAAAGTCCCTTCCTAGGTTAGACACATGGCTGGAATGAGAGGGACATAAAGTATAACGCTTTGTGTGTCTGTGCCTGGCTTCGTGACCAACCTTGACATTTGCCCTCTATGATCTAATTTCCTTCATTGACAACCAGGATGCCCTGTGCCCTGTGCACCAGCAAGTGGCTCTGCCAGCTGTATTTTACAGACAGAGAATCACAAGCACCAAAATAACAAAGTTGATAACCCCATCCAGTCCAGAGGGACCGTTTCCATTCCTGTATCCTGACCGCTGTCTCTCATCATGACTCCCCGGGCGTTCAGCTCCAGATTCAAAGTGTCGTCCCCCAAAACCCCGAAATAAAGGAGTGACAAACAGCCCTCCCAGGCCCTCCTCCCCACAGAGAGGTCATCGTATGCAAATGAAGTCCGGGGAGGCAGCGGCGCAGCGCGGGAGAGCGCGCCCACGGGTTCACAGCGCTCCCGGGCCCCACTGCGGCGCAGCCACAAATCGCCTCGCGCTGCAGCAGACCCTCCGCCGCGGGGGGCGACGGGGGAAGGGATCTCGACCGCCGCCCTGAGTTTCGCAGCTGGATCACTCCCATCTGGGTGGTGGTTCTAGTTCTGGTCCCACGCTTTCCACTGCAGTGATGGCGGGGATGAGGGCAGCAAGTGAAATCACCTGTAGGGCTTTTTCGAACTCCACAGCCCCTTCCCCTAATTACAGTCCACTCCCTCAGACGAAGAAAATCTCAAAGCAGGCAAGGGCAGGTGGGCCGGTGGAGTCTGCGAAAGCCCCACAGGTGATTTCTGGGTACGCACCTCTCAAGACACAAACATACACACGGACGCATCTTGTGACTCCGAGACTACACACATCAACCTTAGATTCTCTTCCTGACCCTTCTCCCTGTATTCTCCGAGGCGTCTGTGTTCTCTTCAGCCTCCCTTTAAGTCGCCTTGCTCCGGGGCTTGGTGGCGTGCCCCCAAAGTCCTAGAACCCCGCGGGACGGCAGGAGGCTTTGGCGGCCAGATATTAGGAAAAGCAGCCCCCGCTTCTCCGACTGCCTGGAGCGCGAACTGGGTATCTAGTAGCCAAGGTAAGTCCAGAAGATGGAAATCCGACCAGTTGCTTCAGCAAACTGCCTGGAGCAAGGCCGCCCCCCACCCTCACAGCTTGGAGGTTTGAGGGGGCCTCCCAGTCGCAGAGAGAGCCGAGCCCCACCCTGTGCTTTCCCTAAGCCTGCACCCCTCGAGCGGGGCGCCCCTTCCTGCGGGGCTTTGCGGCAGGTGGAACTGGCGGGGTGGGCGCCCTGGCTTTGGCCGCAACCCTTTCCCTGGCCGCGGGACCGGCTCCCGCTTTGCCCTCCTTTTCCAAGTTGCTGCACCCGGCGGTCCCGGAGCCGGGACCCCCTCCGCCGCGCCGGCCGCCGTCTTACCTCAGTCGGCAACACTTGGTCGCGCGGTGGCCCGGGGCGCTCCTTCCTCGCGGTTTATTCCCTTACTTGGGAGGAAAGAGGAACCGAGAGACAGAAGGGGGACCGAAGCTGGCGTCTGGCCGTCTTCCCGCCCGCGCGGCCGTCTCGGGGGAGGGGGACGCAGCCCGAGTGGGCGCTGCGGCCGGCAGCGCCGGGGTCTTCACTTGTGCTCGGGGTTCCGCAGCTCCAAAGCCGTCTATCTCCGCGGCCCGCTACTACGGCACTGCGGCTCTGTGCCCTGCCCCTCGCAGCTTGGCAAGTCCGGCTGCCACTCTCACTGCGGAGCCCTGCCCCCGGGCGCTGAGCCCGCCCCCGCCACACACACCGGCGCGCGCGCGTACGCATGGCACACACACGCGCGCCCACACATGCACACGCGTGCGCACACACGAACGTGGGTCCGTCCGCTCCCTGGGAGCCTGACCCCCTTTGGTGCAACTTGGGCGAGGGCATCATCAGCACACTTCTTACTGACAGGGCTTCGGCTTGGGAGGAGGAGTTACAGGCTTAGGGGTGTGGAGAGGGTGCCGCAGTGATGGGTACCAGAGGCCCCCTGTCCCCGGAGGCGAAGGGCAACTGTTTGACAAACAAATACCGACTGGGCGTTTCCTTTTCTCAACTCGGGTCAAGGCTGCCTTAATATCCCGACCAAATGGAAGAACTAATAAAAATGTAGAATCAACAAGTTCTCTTCGTTTCCTAGGAACTCAGTATCTCTAGACTCCAAATTACTGGCCCTGTCCAGGGGGACATTTGTGACAACCTTGACCTCGGAGGCAGTGGATTGGTGGCCGTTCAACCTGAAAAGCTTTTCCTCTGGTAGCCATGGTGGAGACTGGCACAGCCTGCTTAGGTGGGCTCCGGGAGCGTTTAATTTCCATTCTCCTTTGCCTTTAGGTGACCTTGGACTGTATTCCTGCGAAGCAAATAGATCCCTTCCTTTTTAAAAAACGTAGATAAGCACAGAAAAGGGGCTGGGGTGGGGGGGGATAGGGGAGCCGCACTGGCCAAGGCACTGTGACTTGTTGCTTCTCTTTCCATGACGTGCGGCGTGTCCACGTCGGGGGTGATGGTGGTGGTGACACTATTTCAGGCATGTCACACAGCAGGATGACTTCTATTTCACACCACATTTAGAGTCATTAGGAGTTGAGACTGTCATCTGTAAAATATGTGGAGTTTACTCGCTTCCACAGCCGAGAATTCTTTTCTGCTGGCGGGCAGTGAAGGTCCCCAGGCCAGCACTGTAGCCAAGAAAAGCTTTCTGCAGAGTGTGGAGGTGCCGAAGGACTCTGGGTGTCTGAGCCTTTGGGGAAGAAGCCTCAAACGTGAAGGTCAGACAGCCCTGAGGACCCTGTTGGGTGGTGTCCATATTGGGCTATCTGCAGGCAGGCTGGTGAGACAGATGAGAAACAGCTGAGAGATCTCCTCAAGGTTCCACACGGTGATGAAGGCAGAGTTGATACCACAACCTGTGTGTGCAGCTTTTTATCCTCTGGGATTCACACCTGATTCTGTCACCCCCGGTCGGTTCTCAAGGTTCCCTTCAGCTAGACTGAAATCATCTTGGTGAGGGTGCCCTCCAAGTTCGTTTTTATCTTTTCTTGTTTCCTTTTCAGTCACTGACTCATTCATTTTACAAGTATTTGTTAAACTCTTACTCTGTCTTCAGGTGCTTCCCCTTAACTCCAGTCCTGGGTCTTACTTGGGAGGAAAGAGGAACTGAGAGACAGAAAGGGCTTACAACTGTCCTAATCCATGGAAGAGGAGAACCGTGGACACAGGTTTCTTGTGCGTATTTTCACTGTGCTAGGTCGCATGGATGTGGAAGACACAGTCCTTGCTTTTTTGACTGCAGGCTCTTTGGAGGAAAATGCACATACATGTCACAAGAAAAACATTCTGGCTGTCTATTCCCGACTCCTAAGGAAGGCTAAACAGAAGGAGACCCTGTGTTTGAGCATTGTAATGGACTTGGGGTACATGTTTGCAAGTAGCAGTTAGGACAACATTAAGTTGTTCTGCCTATTAGAAGAGGAAGGAAATGAGTTGAATGGAACAAACAGGGAAGACATGCAGAGACTGAGCGTGGAGCCTCAGCCTGGTTGAGAGCACACTGGGGAAGAGTAATGAGAGGGGAGGAACTCTGAGGACGGAGTTGCCAAGCAGGGATTTGGACAGGGGAGATGCTTGCAAAGATTGGTAAATAGTTTGCTGTGCGGTGGGCCATGGCAGTGCCTGGTCCGATGGAAGAAATAATTTGTAAAGCCAATATTGTTCACTGATTTCTTTGTGAATGAATTCCTTTGGGAGCTCAGGATGGAGCCACATGAAGCATCTGGGTTGCTGCAGGATGAGTTCAGAGAAGGTGTGTGGACTGAGTTACATGCTAATAACATGGAGGAAAAGGGTTGGAATAGAGGCTGAAGCAATGTGGAAGGCAAAGAGGGAGGGGTGGGAAGAAGCACCACGAACGATTAGTGCCAATGGAGGCATCATGGAGGAGGTAGGGTTTGGCATAGGGTTCTAAAGGGGAATAGAGATCCTTTGCAAAGATCAACAGGACAAGGGCAATCTAGGCTGGAAGAAAGCAAAAGCAGAAAAGTAAGACAATTCATGGTGAATTTTGGGCCTTCCCAGCAGAAGAAAGGAAGGCTGGGGCAGTATTGTGGGAGCCTCCAAATGCTCTTCCGGGAGCATAGACCTTGGGTTCCGTAGTGAGGAGCTATGGCAGGTGTGGATTTTTTGTTGTTTGTTTTTGACGGCAAATGAGCTGGGGAGCAAGCTGGGAAGGGTCTGATGCCAGCTTTCCCAAGATAGGCCTTCTCCATCAGAATGGAGCGCTGCGGGGAGAGAGTCCTTAGTGCTGCTCTCACGAGGAGCCAGGGCCCAGGTGGTTTATGTGGCTTGCTACACAGGGTACCCAGCTAAGGGGCTGAAACCCAACTCATGCCATACAACCTGGCAGGGCCGTGTCTGCCCAGAGTGAAGGATGACTTTTCTCTAATTTGCCTGGGCTGATGGAGGCCCTGCAACTGAGCTCTTTATTTGAGATGGCCGAAGCTACAATGAAACGTTTGCTGTATGTCCAAACATAAGATAAAGCAGAAATAGTCTTGAAGTCAGGACTATCTGTGAGTCTGAGCATGTCTCTGCTCTGTGGTGACACTCTGAGACTTACTGTAGGGTATAGAGGAGGATGCTTAGTTCCTCCCCTCAAAGATTTTGCAATTCGTGTCATTACAAAACAAATGCTCCAATGGTTAAGAAGCGATGAAAGTGTGGAATCATGTGCCAAATTGTACAGGGCAGATTCTCAGGGCTTGAGAAAGGAGACCTCCTCTGGGCTGAAAGAGTCAAGGCAGGCTTCATGGGGGAGGAGGGCTGGGTTTGGCAGTGGAGCGTGTAAGTGCTGGTTTTTATTCAGAGAAAAGACCTGTGAACAAGGGGCCACAGGAAAGGAAGCTGGGGGCATCTGAGCATGGATTTTTAGCCCCCACACTCACCCTAATGCCATTCCCAGTTGTAGCTCAAGCGCTGTGATGAGTCACTCTTGTTTCTGAGAGATGGGGCATTTTTGGATGTTTAACTAGTTCAACACTTTACATTCCCTGAGACTTCAATGTTGGCAGCTCACACTCACCATGTTGCTCTGGGAACACATCATCCAAGCCAGAAGCTGATGCCTGAGCTGCATTGCCAAGGCAAAGTGAGGGCTGAGTCAGGTACCTGTGTCTGGAAATTTCTAGTCCCACTGTCTCTGACAAGCTGGGTGAACAGCACTCGACACTTGGAGCATGGCTGAGTTCAGCAAGGTGGGCTGGGCTGGGGGGTTTCTGCTCGCCTTTTTAGGACTGACTTTTCTCATGTACAGAACACAAAGGATTGCACCAGATGATCTACAAGCTGTCTTCCACCTAATATTTTATGATCTCATAATTAATAGGATCTTTCCACTTTACCAAATAATGACAGGATGGGAACAGATACTAGCCAAGTCCTAACCTTCACTTTCTGCTTGCCTTTGCCTGTGAAGGCTGTGGTGGAGTGAGACTCTGAGACTCTGGGTTGGAAACAGGAGAAACAAGAGCTCCTGGTCACAGTTTCATCATGAACGGGCTTTGGGATCCAGCCCTGGGAATGCAGGCATTTAAGTTTTCTTATTAGTAAAATAAGAAGGCTGGAAATGGTCCCTACAGTCCTTTCTGGCACTCTGTTAAGTACTAGCCACTGGACAACTTTTAAGTACTGCCCCTTGCCTGAGTGGGGCCCCTCCACAAGGCAAGCTGGGAAAATTCTCACCATATCAACTGATAAGCTTGAAGAAAAGCACAACGAAGAAGCCACTGGGTTCAGAATAATAAATAGACCATTTTGAATTAGATGGAGTCAAAAGAGCTAGATCTGAGTCTCTAAGCCCCAAGTTTCTCTTCTGCAAAGTGGGGACAGTATTACATGCATCCCAGGGTGGGATTAAATGGAGACGCTTATTTGAAAGTATTTTAGAAGCGCTATGCAAAAATGTAAAATATGGTTGTAAAGATAGTCTGTTCCATTAAGGTTGTCTATTTTTTAAAGCCCAATTATTATACTACTTGCTAACGTGTCTGCTTCCTAAGAAA